AGCTATGAGCATGCGCAGCGACAAGTCAGCATCGCAAGTACTTCGTTCCGAAGAACCTTCACCATTGCCCGTTCCTCTTTATCCGCATCGATTGCCTACGCAGACCACTTAAGCGACCTCACGACGGTCTGTTCACGCTTACAAGGTAAGGATAGTTTTTTCGTCATCAAGCGCAACAGCAAGCGAGAAATTGTCTCAATCGACTATCGCAAAATTGTGCGTTTCGAGCCAGAGTCGAACGACGACTCCAATCCTCCACTCTCAGACACATTGACTCAACCGACGGTGAAGGAGACGCTTATGGCGGAAAGCAAAGATTTGAATGGAGACGCCCGCCGAACCCCTTGATTACACCTAGCTAAAATGGTTACTAGATCTGGTCATCAGGTCCATTGACCGTCACGTTTCTTAGAACGGTAACTTAGCATTTTTGCTTCTAACAGCGTTGCAGAGTTTTCTTTCGCTCCAGTACCTATCGAACACCGCAACAAAATCAGAAATGTTGTGTACCCCCTAAAACATAAAACGTTTTGCAAACTAACAGAAAAACGGAGAAAGCCTTTTGTAGCTCAATAAAAGGAGTTGTTTCTTCAACTTTTCGTTACCTATTTGGTAAGTGCCGCACTCATTTGTTGCTGTCGTCACTTCCGTATGCCTGACCTCACTGTGTTTCTTCTATATTTCCATGTTCTGAATCGGATAACACTTAACTGGGGTCAAACACAAGTGATTGTACGCCACGAACTTCCTCTCCGTTCCTATCATCAGCACCTTTAACTAAGACATGTACGGTGCATGCTATGGTCCGATCACATTGCTTCTTTTACAGCAGCCTCATCAGGTTTCGTCATCTTGTCTTGCAATAGGTTGGCGGACTGTCTTCATGCAGACCAAAGGGTCACCTGTGGTTCTCTTCAAGGAGGGGAGTCGTGTAGCGACCTAAAGATTTCCCCGTTTGGTTAGATACGATATGTAAAATAGTATACCGTACAATGGAACAAAGGAACAATGCATTTATGCGGGTATAAAAGCTAAAGCTTGACAAAGCCCGTAGGGTGCGAAAATCATAGAAGTGTGAAAAATTCAATGGAAACCAATTCAGTAAAATCGTTTAACAACGAGTCATTACAAGCTTGTGGACTCACCGAGTTTGAAGTGTCAAAATAATAATCCACTATAACTCCGAAGGGGGTCATGAGGTATGGAGTATTTGGTTAAAAGAGTCACCGCCCCTTGAAATTCGCATGGAGCAAAGTGTTTGAGTTTGAAGCGTCAAAGTATAAATCCACTGTTGAAATTTGCGTGGGGGATAATTATTTTTAAAGTATGGATTTTGGATCTCTCAAAATTAGACTGTACTATGGGAGATAGTGCAATGAAGTGAGTGCACTATCAACTCGATTTTTGAACTCGATTAGGTTGGGTGCACTGACTACAGATTCTGGGAGAGCATTCCAGGCTTGGCAAACACGCACGGAAAAGAAATTCCGTCGACATTCCAAACGGCTGTACTGCACTGCCAGCTTCAGATGATGGCCTCTCAGATTGTTGTTGTTACTGAGCTCCAGCAGATGGCGGCAGGTATGATTGCGGTCTGCCAGAATCTGATAAGCCAAAATCAAATCTCCCCGTAGTCGTCGATATTGACCACTAAATATCCCGAGCAATCTCAGTCTGTCTCCGTAGCGTAACTGGCCTAAACCTTTCACGTTCTTCGTTGCGCGTCGTTGAGGTTTCTCTAAATAAGAGAGGTCTTTCCTCAGCCACGACTGCCAGACTCGTATTGCATACTCCACGTGTGGTCGTATGTATGCACCTAGAAGTTGGTGAAAAACGGATGGATCGAAGCGTCCAGATGTGCGCCGGAGAAGGCCCAAATTTCGAATGCTCGTGTTCGATGCTTTCTTTGCCTGGGCTGAACAACCAAGGTCGGACTGAATCAAGACTCCTAAATCCTTTTCCTCAGCAGTTGTGTGAAGCACATGGTCACCCAGTTTATAGAAAAAATGCTGATTGGTGACGTAAGTGTAATACTCTGCACTTTTCTGTGTTGAGTGGGAGTTGGTTCTGAACTGACCACGCATACACCTTATCCAGATCCTCTTGAAGTATTGCGGAGTCGTCTGGTGTATTGATCGCTCTCCAGAACTTGATGTCGTCGGCATAGAGTAGGCAGTTGGAAAGAATGAGGGCCGCTATGTCGTCAATATACATCAAAAAGAATCTTGGCCCCAGTACCGATCCTTGTGGTACACCACATTCGACTTGGATTGGGTGGGACAGGGACCCACGCACTTTTACCTCTAAGCTCCGGTGGAGAAGAAAGCTTGTGATCCATCCTAGGAGCGGATCACCAATGCCGAAGCTCTGAAGTTTGCAGATCAGGATTCCATGGTCTAGTCGATCGAAGGCCTTTGAGAAATCTAGGTAGACCACGTCCACTCCTGCACCGCTGTCAATTAATTTGGTCCAACTCGATCTTGCTAGCAGCAGATTTGTGGTGCACAATCGATTCCGTCGAAAACCATGCTGTTCATGTGCAAGGAATGCAGAGTCTTCTAGATGGGCTCTTAATACGTCAGCAACAATAGCTTCCATAACCTTTGACAGGACCGGGAGAAGGGTTACAGGACGGTAGTTGGCTGGATCAGAACGGCTACCGCCCTTGTGAATTGGGGTTATGATCCCAGATTTCCACATCTCGGGTACATACATCTGATCGAAGCAGCGTTGGAAGAATCGTGCCAGAGGCTCTGCTAAACTTTCCCCCATTACCGCAAGGGACTTAGGGTGAATGTTATCGATTCCAGGAGAGCTGTGCTTACGCATACACAACAACTTTAATACCATCCCCGCCGTGAAAGTTATGTGCGTAAGTTTTGTTTGTAAAACAGCTGCTGACAAAGGAACAGATGACCAAGGAATGCATTGAAAGTTCGAAGCATATTGCAGCCGCAAGGCGTTCGCCGCATCCTCCGTAGTTAGCGTCATGCCATTTGGCGTTTGAAGAGGAGGGATTCCCCGTTTCACCTTGCGCAGGTTGTTTACATGTTGGTAGAGCAGCTTATGATTCGAAACCATGCGCTCCGTCAGATGCTGCTGGCATGTCAGTTTATCCTCACGAACGAGTTGAGTGCAATGATTACGTTGAATTGCATAGGCCGTCCAGCTCTCCGTGCTCGGGTGTTCCTTATAGATACGCCAGGCCGAGTTCCCCACTGCTATACATTTTCGTGTCCTACTTCGCACAAATGAAACAGTCTTCTTCGAGTGGACAACCTTAGTTTCGGATGCCTCTTCGACGAGAGTGCTAAATTGGTTGACGAAACGTGGCCATGCGATTGTCGGTACTTCGTCTGTCAGAAAGTTCCAGTTGGCTGTCTCTGCAAGTCGAGCCAACCCATCGTACCGTATGATAACTCGGCTTTCCCGTGTAGTATCCGCAGGGTATTCTGCGTAGCATATTTAATCGAAGAGTAAAACTGCATGATCGCTGCAACCCAAAGGAGCGTCCATGATTACTTTCTCGACCATGAGTTCTTCGTTGGTAAATATCCGGTCCAGGATGGACGGCCTTTCTGCTGCTCTGAATCTGGTGGGATTGTCGATATGGCCATAAGGCGGAAAACTGGAGACAAGGTCTTGTAGATCCGCTATGAACTGTTCCGTAGGTGTTGCTTGAGCATCCAGAGCGTGGATATTGAAGTAGAAAGCTTGTTTGTTGTAACGTTGAATACGTACGTTTGAGTCAACCAAATGGAACGTACTTGATGTAGCGAGAACGACCCGGGAGGGGGGCAGAAGGCATATTACTACAATAACGTACAACTGACGACTCACAAACCCGTACAGATATGGACCACGTTTCCTTCCTACAACGCAACGCGGATGAGGATTTGTGTGACGCGTCATTCCACGTGCCTCTGTTGAGGTTCGAAACAATCCATCCATGTTCCCGACCCGTATCGCCGCTTCGCTATATCCGATTCCGGTTAGCCAGGAGTGGTTCGAAAGCTCGAGATTTGTTTTTCCCTGGCTGCAGCACTCGACCCGCGTTCACTTCTATGGGCTTCGCTAACGGTGTATTTCTGTGATTCATTGCGCCTTTCTGGGCTGAGGATCGTTACTTGATGCCGCTCGTGATCCGCTACCGGCTCAATCCGCAAGGCACGCAGAGCTTTGTTTCCCCTCATACACTGCTCCCGTTGGTACTTCCCTACTATCCCGTTTTCTTTGTCTTTCCGGTTCACGAATAGTCCTTGGCTTCCGCCGCTCTACATTGGTACGCTTTCGACATACCGCCTCGAATGATGCCCGCAACATCTGCGGTGACAACCATCTTTCTCTTCCTACTTAGAACCTTTGAAGTGCTTTGTAGCTAGCAAAACTGTACATTTTACTAATAACCATATAGCTCACTGATTTATTCTTCTTTATGCAGCCTTTCCGTAATAATAATAATAATAATGAGTCAGCTGTACGCCGTAACGGCGCTTCCCTGCCGTACGACGATCACCTGTCGCACGCGAATTGCGTATACCTTGAAGACGCCCACTCCTACGTGGATTCGAACCCGCACTGCAAAGTTACGAAACAAGCCCTTTACCACTACTCTACGGGCCGGATTCTCCGTTAGGTTGGTCGAAGGTCGATTTATGGCGAATGATCAATTGCACTATAGTCGTGTGTCCCCAGCACCATGTTACGCTACAATGATGTATGTTTTCATCGAATTCCTTCGATTTTGGCAGGCGCAGTAGCATAGTACGAGGAGAGTTCATGCAACTCGGTAAGCGATGATGACATTGAGGATTGGCTTAATTGTTCTTTGAAATATTTAAGTCACTTTCTACTTCGCAAGCTTATGTTACTCCGCCTGAACGTAACGCTTGTGTATGGTTGTCTCTTAGCCATTTTCCAAAAGTCATGGACCGAAGTGGCAAGCACCATCGCAGGGACAATTGGGCTTAATTGTTGGCACATAACGTTTTCACGTGATTAAAATGTTCAAATAGCATATCGATCGGCAGGGGCTCATACGCTGCCCTGAACTGACAAGCGCGTTATGTCAAAGATGCATAAAAGTAAGCGGAACAGTGTCAGAGAAACGTTCTAATGTAATCGTTTTTAGAACCGGAGGCTCGTTCTGCTTCTCTCTCTCAGGGCGCTGTCGACTGCTGCGCGCTGAAAGACATAAACCGTTGTGGTCTCTGTGAAGATCTCAATGCAACTACTAGAAACGCCATCCTGAACTTAATTAAGCAAGTTGAAAGGCAAAAGAAACTGCATTTCAACAAAACCGAACTCAGCATTTTACTGCACATGTGCGTCGAGATCACAGGTCGTGAGGTTCGTGACATGACGATGGATGAGTTGAAGACGTTTTTGTATGGGACGTTGGACATAACGAATCCGTTTAGCTTGGATGGCTTGTGCAGAGCCTGTATGCAAAATTCAAGACAGATCAAGAAAACTGTGAGCCCGGTAGATTTTGTCCAATTGCTATCAGTATTACTGAGAGGAACATTAAGCGAGCGAGCAGAGCTGGCATTCCGAATCATGGATATAGATTCTGATGGACTTATACGCCGAAATGTGGAGGTTCGCAGACTGCTACATGATACATTTAATGTATCAATTGCTGCGCAAAATCCGGAAATAGACCCTGACGAGCCAGTACGTGACACAATCAATTATTTGTGTGAGAAGCTACAGTGCACACTCACCCAACCAGTCTCACTGGACCGATTTCGAGCGTTGGCCCAAGAACATCCTTGGATAGTTGAAAGTCTCCTTCCCTGCATACCCTCTGAAATGACCAACCTTGTGTTTCAGACACTTTTTAGCACTCATATCCGGCTACCATCGCTGGAACCAGCTCCAAAGATAGCCAACAAGTAATTCTGGGTCCAAATGTAAAGCAAGCATCAGAAGAGATAGGGTTAGCTTAAAGTCTGTACTGGAAGCGGTGCTACTGGAAGTTGTAGGGGAATAAATCCTTTCATTTCTTTGTACCATGCACTTGCGAAGGTCATACAATTATGTTACGCAGACATACTTTTAAAAACTACTCAGTCTGTTGCGGCTCACATCCTAACCAATAACCCACTTATAAATACAGATTTTTGGCACCGTCGACCATTCAGAAGACAAGGATAGTTATCATCGCTGGCACCGAAGTGGTCCGGTTATAAGAATGTAACCCACGGATCCGGGGTCCAAGAAACAACAGTGGAAGAACATCAGTCATTTGAACTGATGCTTCGATGGAACAATAGAAAAATGTTTTAATACGGGTACGCATTGTAAAGCTCGACAGGTACATTAGGATGGTTGGGGTAAAAATCGCGAAGTATTGAAAGGAGGGCAACAAACTGAGTTCAAACCAATGGACTCATCGAGATATAGGAAAACAAAACTTTAAACAGCTTAAATCCATAACGAATGACGATAAATGAGACTTTCGTATAATTCATATCACCTCCTGATTAAAATGTGTAAGGGGTGGAAAAGGCAAAACATATTCTGTAAGGGGACCGGCAGGAAACTCTTCAGTAGACACTCGTGTTTGGTAATGGACAGTGAGTCTTGCGAGAAGATATGGCGAAATGAGTGAGCGAAATGGTACAGTGAAATGCACTCTATCAGCGTGGGAGCACAATTGACAGAAACCGTGAAGGCATTCCATGCTTTCAAATAAAAAGCATTTCAAACAACTACTGCTCTGTCAGTTTGAAATGGTGGACTCAGATTGTTGTTGTGACTGAGCTCCAGATGATGGCGGCACGCGTGTTTAGGGTCTTTCAATATCTGGAAATTCATAATAAGGTCCCCACGAAATCGAGAGTATCTTCTGCGAAAAATCAGGAGCCCTGCGCCGTTATTCATAAGGCAACTTGTACAACTCTTTGAATTTCTTGCTTGCTCATCGTTGCGGTGTTTCGAAGGTAGTGCGATCTCTTCTGTGTCATGGCTACCAGACGTGTATCACATACTCCGTGTGTGGACATATGTAGCTGCCGAGAAGCTGCTGTAAAATCGGTAGGTCGGAGTGTTCAAATGCACGCCTCAGGATCCCCGCGTTTGAACGCTCTTTCGTGATGCTTTTCAAGCCTGATTCGAATAGCCAAGCTTGGCCTAGACCAAAACACCTAGTTCCGTTTCACTGGAAGTCGATTGAATCCGGTTGCCCAGTTTATAGCATGCCGCTTTCTGGTGCAGTAAATGAAATCATCTACATTCTGCAGACTGAATCAAAGAGAATCCAGATTGCTCATTCCCAAACCCCATCCAGATCGGCTTGAGGTACTGCAGGATCCCTCTCCATATCTTGGTATCATCAACATAGAATAGACAGATCTAACTTCTGAGATGGTTTATATCTGAAGAAACAGATCTTAATAAACCTCGGTCACCCCTGCTGCCACCCACTGAAACTTAGCTGCAGCACAAAAGTGCCAGGTTACCAGCTGAAACCGACCTCCCAGTAGTCGGTTGGAATGCCTCCGCATTTATTTTCCTTTCAAACTTGTCAGCCGTGGAAGAGCACTCCGACTTCTGTCATTACGTGTCCATATTATCCATTAAAAATGCACTCGACGATGTAGCACAACATCTGCATAATTTAATTCGAATTCTGTTCATCTAGTAACGATAAGACGCAGACAAACATTATGCCTATCAGTCTCCACGAAGTCGGGGTAGAGGGATAAATCCGTGTGTTACCGTGGATACCATAGCAAGTCCACAGATGCGTGTTCATTTTAGTGAAGTTTCTTTCTTGAACATCACACAAACCATCCCACGGGACCTGCAAATCACTGGCTATTTTATCGGGATTATACAATTGTTTTATTGTTCAGTATACAGCAAGAGCAACCGTGGCCGCAGTACCGCTTCCCAGTAGTTCACCGCGTCGGAGTTGGGTGAGACATGACAGGAATCCAAGCACTCTTACCTCCAAGCAACGGTGGAGGAGCAAACTTCTAATACACCCCGAAGGAGGATCACCAATGTCAAACTTCTGGAGTATGAAAAGAGGGGTTCCATGTTCTAACTGATTTAATACTTTTGCGAAGTCGTGTTAGACCATAACAACTTGCACCGATGTTTGCTGACTGGAAGTCGGCCGGTGGCCGAATGGTCTGCACGTTTGCTTTGCAACCATAAAGTCACCGGTTCGAATCCGCGTAGGGGTGGGCGTCCTCGCGGTATACTCTGCCCGCGCGCGACTGGTGGTGGTCGCGCGGCAGCGAAGCGCCGTTACGGCGTACAGCTGACACACATTGCTGACTGGAAATACCAGCAGCCATTGGTGCACAGGTTAAAGCCTGTACAACAGCTAATTTCGAGCTGCACTTTATCCAACCACGTAACCTTTCCCACCAGATTTCGAACTGCTAACAGACCGCCGATACTTGATTTCTTGCTCACCAATGAAGAAATCATGGCCGGCGGAATAGTTACAAGCAGACCACTGGGCCGTAATGACCATTTTACGCTCGTTGCACTACATATTTTGCGCGGAATATCCTGAGGAGCAGGAAAATAAAGTATGTATTGTCACACATTTTGACGTGTTATTTACGCTTGTCTACAAAGCATTTTGGACCTTTATAACTAATTACCCCCAGAAGTCACCTGGGAAACCTTCACTAAGACATTCAGCACAAGGGTTGCGCACTCATCGGAACAGGAGTCCCTACGTATGGTTTTCGGATTCGTGAAGACAAATGTACTTCATTCACTACGACCATCAAATACCTTGATTTTATCCTCAAAAAGAATGATCGTCGACTAGATCCGGCTAACATCGTAGCCATAAGGAAGATGCTCTACCAGCAGATATTCAATCGCTGCGTTCATTCTGTGGACTCATCACTCGCTACTTGGCATTCTTACCTGAGCTACCGTGTCTGTGTGCCCCGCTGAACAAGCTATTGACAAAAGACCACGCATGGAATTGGACGCTAGAGTGGCAGTGTACCATTGAGCGAATCAAATTATTATTGGCTTCAGCATTGTTGTTGACTCATTAAGATCCAAATCAGAAGAAAATTCTCACAACAGACGCAGCAAATCAAGGGATCGGAGCAGTTATTTCGCATTTGTGCCCAAATGGATCCTAGAAGGCGAACGTTCACGCGGAAAGGACTTTGACAAAAACCGAGCAAAACTATAGCCAGATGGAAAAGGAAGCATTATCTATAACCTTTGGGATGAACAAATTCCATAAGATACTATATGCTGGCCGATTCAAGCTAATGACTGATCACAAATAATTACTTGTCATTTTCGGCTCGAAAAAGGGCATCCTTGGCTATACGGCAAACCGTCTCCAATGCTGGGCGCTCACACTGCTGAACCATGATTTTGAGATTAACTACCAAAGAACCGCTTCCATGGCCCAAACGGACGCACTGTCACGCCTCATAGACTCCCATCAGCAAGATGAAGAGGCTGAGATTAGATCTGCTGTTGAGCTTGACCCGGACGTCAAAACTCGTGTGGCTGATAGATTACGGGACTTTCCAATGGCCGCAGATGCTGTACGAGCAGAAACGTTTCGTGACTCGCTACTCAAGATGGTCGCACAATCATCATCATCATCATCATTATTCACGTTAACTGCACGTGGAAAACACGTCAGCTATTGTGCCGCAATACAAAGGACAAGAAGAAAAAGCAGCAGCAAGCCGGCTGAGTCCCCACTAACGGATGGACATCGTTCCGGAGAGCTAACAGTCAGTTATATTGCCGCAAAAAGTTATGTTATGCCTAACGAATGCGATCGTGATTGGAGGGAGAGGCAAAGCAGGAGGGGTATGGACAAAGGAAATCACAACACAAACGCCACTGAGGCCGGCTCCTAGCCATGTCACCAACTGTGTCCAACCAAACGTGTTCATCGTCCTTAGGACCCCAGCCAGGCAGTCGGGATACACCAACCGACGCCAACTTCGAAGTGAAGGTTTTCATCTGGCTCGCCCAAGTCATCGCTTGGCCTCCCCTCCTTCTCTTCCAACCGCACCCACAACGCGCAAACAATGCACGTCGCAGGAGTCGGTGTGCTGGCATGCGCAACACGTGGCCTAGCCATGGGAGCCTGGTGCGTGATATAATGGTGCTGAGCGGTTCACTCGCTCTTCCTGCACCAAATACGCGACGTCGAACATACTCATTGCTAACGCGGTGCTCCCACCAGACATGAGCTAAGCTGCGAAGCCAGCGATGATCGAATATGACGAGCCTCTTTATGTCTGTCGACCTGATGGGCCAGGTTTCATAACCATATAGGACAGTTGAACGGACGGCTGCGTTGTAAACTCTGCCCCTCAGGGCGAGAGTAATGTCGCGTCTGCGCCACAAGTGGCGAAGATCGACAAAAGCACCTCGAGCTTTTGCTATACTGTTCGTAACCTCATCTTCAATCCCATGGGTACTAATATAGCTGCCCAGGTGCTTGAATTCCTGAACGACTTCTAGCAGATCATTACCAAGCGTTAGCGCAGGGTTGGGTCCCTGCCAATCTTGGAGAAGTACTTTGCATTTCGATGGAGCAAAACATAGCCCGACACGATTAACAGCCAGTGCTAATCGGTCCAGTGCTGTTTGGCATGTTTCGGAGCTGTTACAGATTAGGGCAATATTGTCCGCATACTCCAAGTCAAGAAGTCGCTCACCAGGAAGTAGCTCCACACCTTTCAGGTCGTGTCCAGCGAACGCTTTTTCCATGACTTCATCAATAGCGAAGTTGAAGAGGAAAGGTGACAGCGAGCATCCTTGTCTCACACCGCTGGTGATGCTGAAGGGTGGCGACTGTTTGCCATAAACCCTCACCCTACCCGAACTATGTGCGTACAACGCTTTGATAATGTTTACATATTTATCAGGCACACCTTTTCTCGGCAGACAGTTCCAAAGGGCCAGTCGATCGACTGAGTCGAAGGCATCTTTTATGTCAAGAAACACGAGAACGGTGGGTCGCCAATAAACATGGCGGTGCTCCAACTATTGATGCAAGGTGAAGATGTGGTCGATGCAGCGCTGACCTCAACGGAATCCCGCTTGCTCTTCATGAATCTGGCTTTCACGAGTGCCAATCAGTCTGTGGAGAATGACAGAGGCACGCAATTTAGAGGCAATTGAAATCAGACTGATCCCTCTATGATTGCCGCATTCTGAACGGGAGGCTCCCTTGAAAATTGGGACAATAATGGAGCGGCTCCAGTCTGTCGGGACTGTCTCCTGCTCCGAAAGTTTCACTAGCAACTCGTGTAAATCATCTAGTAGAGTAGGTCCCCAG